GACTGTATATGTCTGTCTGCCTGTACCCGTCTGCCTGTACCCGTCTGTCTGACTGTACCTGTCTGACTGTATATATCTGACTGTATCTGTCTGACTGTACCTATTTGACTGTATCTGACTGTACCTGTCTGCCTGTACCCGTCTGTCTGACTGTATATATCTGCCTGTACCTGTCTGCCTGTCTGACTGTATCTGACTGACTGTACCTGTCTGTTTGCATGTACCTGTCTGTCTGCCTGTACCTGTCTGACTGTATCTGACTGTACCTGTCTGTACCTGTCTGCGCGTCCCCGTCTGTCTGACTGTATATATCTGCCTGTATCTGCCTGTACCTGCCTGCCTGTATATATCTGACTGTATATATCTGCCTGTATCTGTCTGTCTGACTGTACCTGTCTGCCTGTACCTGTCTGACTGTATATATCTGTCTGTCTGCCTGTATATATCTGACTGACTGTATCTGTCTGCCTGTATCTATCTCTGTGCAGACTCTGGCCGGCGCTGCTGGTTCCTGGGCTCTCTGGGGCTGAGTTCTGTGGGCCAGAGGGAGCTGGTCTTCCTGCTGGAGACGCTGCCGGAGGAGCGGGAGCTGCCCAGAGACCTGTTCTCCCTGCTGCTCACCGTCCACCAGGACGCCCTCAAGGGTACCAGACACTCCCCCTCCTCCTCTTCTTTTCTTTTTTTCCTTCTTTTCTGTCTTCCTTTTTATTTCTTTTTCTGTCTTCCTTTTTATTTCTTTTTTATTTCTATTTCTGTCTTCCTTTTTTTCTTTTTTATTTCTTTTTCTGTCTTCCTTTTTATTTCTTTTTTATTTCTTTTTCTGTCTTCCTTTTTTTCTTTTTTTATTTATTTTTCTGTCTTCCTTTTTATTTATTTTTTATTTATTTTTCTGTCTTCCTTTTTTTCTTTTTTCTTTATTTTTCTGTCTTCCTTTTTATTTATTTTTTATTTATTTTTCTGTCTTCCTTTTTTTCTTTTTTATTTCTATTTCTGTCTTCCTTTTTATTTCTTTTTTATTTCTTTTTCTGTCTTCCTTTTTCTTTCTTTTTTCTTTCTTTTTCTGTCTTCCTTTTTATTTCTTTTTTATTTATTTTTCTGTCTTCCTTTTTTTCTTTTTTCTTTCTTTTTCAGTCTTCCTATTTTTCTTCTTTTTTCTTGAATATTTCTTGTTCCTTTTTTCTTCTTCATTTTTTTTCTTTTTATTTCTTCTTCCTACTTTTTTGGGGGTTTTTTTCTACTTTCTTCCTGTCTTCCTCCTTGTTTTCTTTTGTCTTCTTTTTTCTCCTTTTTGTTCTTTCTTCTTCTTTATTTTTCTTTCTTTTTTCTTCTTTCTTTTTTCTTCTTTTTTATTTTTTCTTTCACCTTTCTTGTTTGTTCTTTTTTTTTCTTTCTTTCTTCTATATTCTTTCTTCTTCCTACTTTTTCTTTTTTCCTACTACTTCTTTTTCCTTCATTCGTCCTTTTTCTGTTTTATTTTCTCATCTTTTTTCTCCTTTTTCTCCTTTTTTACCTTTGTTTCTTCCTTCTTTTTTATTTTTACTATTTTATTTTTTTCTTCTTTCTTTTTTATTTCTTCTTCTGTCTTTTTTCTTTTTTACTCTTCTTTCATCTTTCTTGTTCTTTCTTTTTTTCTTATTTCTTTTTTCATGTCTATTCTTCCTACTTTTTCTTTTTTCTTACTACTCTCCTTCATTCCTCTGTTTTCTTTTGTCTTTTTCTGTTTTCTTTTGTCTTCTTTTTCTCCTTTTTTCTTTCTCGTTTTTTCTTTGTTCTTCTTTCTTCCTTTTTTCTTTTTCTTTGTTTTTCTTTTGTCGTCTTCTTTCTTCTTGTCCTTTTTTCTTTTTGTTTCTTCCTTTTTTTTCATTTTTTAGTCTTCGTTATCTTCTTTTTTTCTTGTTTCTTTCTTCTTTTTTTCTTCTTTTTTCTGTATTTCTTCTGTTTTATTTTGCCGTCTTCTTTCTTCTCCTTGTTTCTTTTCGTTCTTTTTTTTCCTTGTTTCTTTTTTTTTCTTCTTCTTTCTTCTTCTTCTTTTTCTGTTTTCTTAATACTTCTTTCTCCTTCCTTTTCCGTTTTCTTTTGTCTTCTTTTTTTTTATTTCTCGTTCTTTCTTTTTTTCTTCTTCCTTCTTTTTTCTTTTGTTTTATTTTGCCATCTTCTTTCTTCTTCTCCTTGTTTCTTTTCGTTCTTTTTTTTCCTTGTCTTTTCTTTTTTTCTTTTTGTTTCCTCTATTCCCTTCTTTCTTATTCCACATTTCTCTGCCTGAGAAACCCAAACCGACTCCTTCCTGCCGTCTGCTTTCAGGAAAGTTTGTGGAGGATCTGGAGAACGTGACGTTCACCAGCAGCTTCCTGGGCAGCAAAGAGCACGCGGGGATGCTGTTCTTCCCCCCGAGCGTCCAGCCGCTGGAGGGCCTGCCGCTGCCCCCCCC